TGTTTAAAAGATTCTAGACTGAACCTAGTACTGAGGAATGTGTCTTAAAATCCAGAGCCACCAGGGCAGGGACCATGCCTATCTTTTGTCTTCATGAATATTAAGTACCCAGCGTAATACTTGGCGCATAGTTAAGTACTGAGAAAATATTTGACAAATAAATGAATGCATTGTTTCTGATTTTTACTAGTCTGATGAAAGTGGTGTTAGTCCTATGAGATTATTTTTTAGGATATATTTTAACGAAAGTGCGTTATGTCAGTCATCTGAAAGGAAAGTTAATAATCACTCATAATCTCGCCACTCTAACAGGGCAACAGTGGCCATCTTTTTACCACTCTATATACTATGTGATTGATGTGGTTAGTTTAGAAAGAAGAGATTTTGGAGTCCTCACCCCGGTACCCAGGAGCCCTATGGATTTGGTCTGTTCTTGTGGAGACTAATTTACTTAGGTCTTGGGACATTACCATTTCATTAATGTGGTTTGTAGCCGGTGTTTGAGTTCTGCACTGCCTTGAACAAGTCTCTAGTGGTTTCAATTCTCTTTCTTGCAAAAGAGCACTTGTGCTGCCTACCTCCCAGGGTTGTCGTGAGGATGAAGGAGAACTGGGTGGTGAGAGGGATCTGGAGAGTAGGAAGTGAAATACAAATGCAAACTTGCCATTAGGAAGCTCAAGTTACTGTATTGATGCTCCGCAGAGTAGGAGGCAACTTCGCTTTGACTGTCTCTAATAAAGCTATGAGATGGGCAGGTGGGTATCATTGTCTTCATTTCTCTGGGAGAACAATACCCATGGGCGTGCCCATACCTTCCGAATATGCCCAGAATCCCACTGCTTTATTCCTCTCCACTGACATCATTCTAGTCTGAGCCACCACTATCTCTCACCAGGGCTCCCGAAGCTTTCCAGCCTTGCCTTCCTGCTTCAGCTCTCACTCCTGCCCCCATCCCCCACGCCATCCCCATTCTCCACCAAGCAGGCAGAGTGATCTTTTTAAACCTAACACAGATCATATTGCTCTGTGTTTAAAACATCCAGTGCCTTCCAAGTCTATTTATAATAAAATCCAGACACTTTCCATGGCCTCTGCATGATCAGACCCATGGCTGCCTTGCTGACCACATCCCTTACCAATTTCCTCTCTCGTTTACTCGACTCTAGCCACCTCTACCTTCTGCTTGTTCCATAGACAGGCCAAATCCACTTCTGCTCAGCAGGGCCATTGCACATTCTGATCCCTCTCCCTGGGGCTCTCTCCCCCTAGATCTTAGCATGGTTCCTTCTTCTGGTCCCTCAGTTCTCTATTAAATGCCATCTTTGCTGATCATCCTGTCAAAAACCGGCACCCCCGGGCTAGGTGTCTATGTATTCCGCGACCCTAGCTTATTTTGTCCAGAGTCCTCGGCACTATCTGAGAGTGTTCATTGTCTGTCTCCCACATGTAGAATGTAAACTTTGTGAGTGCAGAGACCTCATTTGTCCTGTTTACCACTATGTTGCTATCACCTAGACAGGTGCCCGGCCCACAGTCAGTGCCAAGAGCCTGGAATCCAGCATGTTTTCTTCTAAAGGCCCAGCGAGGACTGCTGTTGTCACAGAAAGTGCATGCCTGGCTCAGCTAGGTACAGAGGTGTGGGATTCCAATGGTTACGTATTTTTTCTGTTGGCAGGAGGAAGTGGGGAAGGCAGCCCCCAGCTACAGCATGAACTAATAATACCTCAGTGGAAAACTTCAGAAAGCCCCATGAGAGAAAAGGTAAGACTTCAAAAGCTCTCATTTTTATTGGCAAGAGTTGATGACGAGAGGGTTGGGGCCACTTAACTTTCTTAGAAGCCTAGTCATCACCATTAGTTCTGTTTCTGGCCCACTTTTTCCTCTTTGTGTGTCAGCTTTGGATATCACAGATGGGACTTTCCTTCATTGTGTGACAAACTTCTAGAACACTTCCAAATGCTATTAGTTGAGGAAATGAAAATTCATATTGATGCTGACACAAGCTAAGTGCAAATGTGTTGGTGTCACAAAAATCACCTACTCTCTATTGGAATCCATTAAATATTGCCATTGTTATTTTTGCTCTGCATAACGCATGCTTTATTTTAGTGATGGGATAATGTACTTGGAGAGAAAAAGGATAATCTAAATTATTTTTAATAAGAGGCAGAATAGGGACCTAGGATGAGGGAGTATATCTTCAAATCCAGTAGACTCCCCTGGCTAGAATACCAGCAACATGCATAGGCTTTATCAAAGGGATTGGAAACAAAACAGAAAACATTATCCTGTTTTTGCACAGAGGACCTGCTCATCTAGGATATTCTTGGTGGTTCTGGTTTTTATAGCTCAAGTGAGACGTGAAAGAGCTAGAAAGAAAGATGTGGTTGTTGTGTGCCAGTAACCAGCTGTGTGACTCTCTAGTTTCTAAAGAACTTGAGTTTCCTCATTTATAAAATGGGGCTTAGAGAAAATAAAGAGGAAGAGAGCTGGGGAGAGGGGTTGGTAATAAGATCTCTTTTGGTTCAAATGGTTTGTGATTTATTGGGCAATATACAGGAGCAAGATTATAGTAGGAAAGAGATGTGTCAGGAAAGACTTCAGACGTTGTGGCTCTCGAGTCTGGAAAGATAAGTGGAGAGGAGAAATGCCTGGCGTCCTTGAAGTTATGGCTGGAGTAATACAGATGTGTCCCAAAAGGCTCCAACTTGGATTCACCAAGGGAACTTATAGTGAAAATTTCAGGACAAAAGAAAGCAAGTTCCATTTTGTTCTAAAGGTAATAAATGCATGGAACTCATTTCATTGAAAAGTAGGAGAAACTTAAGGAAAAAATAGCTCCAGGAAAAGTCTAGACAAGTTAATGGATGGCCATCCTTGAGCAGATTATTTTTAAAACTTAAGATCTTGGATATTGCAGCCTATCCATTATTGACTGGGGAATGGATCTGGTACTTTTTATAGAGGCCTCTTTGTTCCCTCCAGATGTAGGTGCCGGGCATCCTCAGGAAGGGCCTGAGAAACAAATTGGAAGACCGGATCCTGTCTTTGTCCCCAGCCATTGTCCGCCCAGAATGTGGGTCATTGTATTCTGTAGGAATAATCAGCACAGTGCCTGGCACCATAAATATCTGCCAAATCAACAAATGAATGAATGTCAGAGAAAGAGAGTAGAAGCTGGGTTTTGCTCAGGCCTCTTATTTATGTAATTTGTTCATACATTAAACATTAATTGAACACTTACTGTATACTAAATATTGTACTGGATCTTAAGGGGGATGCAAATGTAAAGGACAGGTTTCCAATACCCTAGGGAGGTGCAGGTCTATTTAATCTAGCCCTAAGGAAAAAGGACTTTTAACCCTTCCCTAGGGGAAGCATAAATACTGGGTCAACTCTCTGCACTTCCTAGGAGAAGTGATGGTGCCCCTTCCTAGCACAGACTGGCGTTACTTGAGAAAAGCCAGTCAGTAGAGCTGGACAGGGAAGCTCCATGGATCCTAAAATGCAGTTTCATTGTTTTGCTTGAAATGTCCCATGGAGACAAGGAACATCATATTTTAAGTATCAGTGTCTGAACACCTTCCAGAACGGAGAGAATTATTTTTGTATTACTCACATAAAAATAAATATTAGTACTCATGTTGCAGCTTGTGTCTCTTTGGGGGAGAGGTGATAGTGCTTTGATTTGATGGTCACCTACCTCTTGGATAAGAGAATTGCTAAGCTCTGTTGCTGTGTGCTCGTTCTTAAATGCCCACTTGGAGCTGTGTCCCTGCTGTTCAGTGTGACTCTGGTCACTTGCTCCAGAACTCTCCAGAGCAGAGTGGCAAAGGATCACAACCAGAACAGGTGCTGGCAAAGCTGAATCAGGGCATCAGAAACAGAGAAGTGAATCTGTTAGTGAAAGTTATTGGGCAAGCGTCTACCCCAGCTTCCTACTCCCATGGGTTTGAAATGTCCCTTTTTCAGATGAAGTAATAGGATTAATTAGGCAATAGAGTTGCCCAAGAGTCTTTGATGAGAACATTTAGATCTCATCAGAGTCCTTGGTCACCTGAAAGTCTCAGGAATGTCCAGA